GATCACAATGGGCTAAAACTGGAAATTAATAACAAGCAAAACCCAGGAAACTATACAAACACATGGAAACTAAACAATAGGCTCCTGAATGATCTATGGGTCCAAAATAAATTAAACAGGAAATCAAAAAATTTCTTGAACTAATGAAGATAAAGATACATCATACCAAAACCTGTGGGATACTGCAAAATCTGTACTAAGAGGCAAATTTATTGCAATAAATGCTTACATCAAAAGAATGGAAAGACTTTAAATAAGTGACTTAACCCTGCACCTCAAAGAACTAGAAAAACAACAACAATGCAATTCTTAAGGCATTAGATTGAAAGAAATAATATCAGAGCAGAACAAAATGAAATGGAGACCAGAAAAATGATACAAAAGATCAACATTAAAAAAAGTTAGTTTCTTGAGAAGATAAATAAAATAGACAAACCATTAGCTAGGTTAACCTAAAAAAGAGAGAAAACCCAAATAACAAAAATCAGAGATGAAAAGAGAGACAAAACAATTGATACCACAGAAATATGAAGAACCATTAGAGATTATTATAAACAACTGTATGACAACAAATATGAAAATCTGGAAGATATGGATAAGTTTCTGGAAACATACAAACTACCCAGACTGAACCAAGAAGAGATAAAAAACCTGAACGGATCAGTAACAAGCAACGAGACTGAAGTTGTAACCAGCAATCTTCCAACAAAGAAAAGCCCAGGTCTGGATGGCTTTACAGCTGAATTCTATCAAACCTTTAAAGAGGAATTACCAGCAATTCTCCTCAAACAGTTACAAAAAATTGAAACAAGCCATTCTCCCAAACTCATTCTACTAGGTCAACATAACTCTGATACTAAAACTAGATAAAGATACAACAACAACAAATACCAGCCAGTATGCTTGGTGAACATAGATGGAGAAATCCTCAACAAAATATTAGCAATCAGAATACAGCAACACATCGAAAAAATTATACACCATGATAATTGGGATTCATCCCAAGGATGCAGGGATATTTCAACATACAAAAGTCAATAAATATGGTACATAACATCAATAAACTCAAGGACAAAAACCATGTGACTATCTTAATAGATGCTGGAAAAGCATTTCACAAAATTCAACATCCCTTCATGATGGAGACTCTCAACAGATTAGGTATAGAAAGTAAGTGTCTCAACACAATAAAAGCCATCCATGAGAAGCCCTACTGCCAGTATCATTCTGAATGGGAAAAATCTGAAGGCTTTTCCCTTAAGAACAGGAAGAAGACAAGGATGCCCACTCTCACCACTTCTATTTAACATAGTACTGGGGGTACTAGCCACAGCAGTCAGGCAAGAGAAAGAAATCAAGGGCATCCAGATTGGAAAAGATAAAGTCAAACTGTCCCTATTTGCAGATGACATGACACTATATATAGAAAAACCTAAGATTCTGTCAAAAAACTCCTAGAGCTGGATAATAACTTCAGTAATATTGCAGGATACAAAATAAATGCCCCCAAATCAGTTGCATTTATATTCTCCAATAATGAGCTAACAGAAATCAATAGAGTAAGCCCATTTACAACAGTCACACAAAAAATAAAATACCTAGGAATCAATTTAACCAAGGAGGTGAAAGATCTCTGCAATGAGAACTACAAACCACTATGGAAAGAAATTAAAGAAACAAAAAGATGGAAGAACATTCCATGCTCTTGGATTGGAAGAACTAACATTGTGAAAATGCCTGTACTACCAAAAGCGGTCTACAGATTCAATGCAATCTCCATGAAAATACCAATGACATTCTTCACAGAAAAGGAAAAAATATCTCAACATTCATATGGAACAACAAAAGACCCTGAATAGCCAAAACAATCCTGAGCAAAAAAAAATAAAGCCAGAGGCATAACACTACCTGACTTCAAATTATACTACAAAGCTATAGGAACCAAAACAGCATGGTACTGGCATAAAAATAGACATTCGGACCAATGGAGCAGAATAGAGTACCCAGAAATTACCCCTCAGGCTTACAGGCATCTGATACTAGACAAAGGCAACAAAAAACTACATTGGGGAAAAGACTGCCTCTTCAGTAAGTGGTGCTGGGAAAATTGGATATCCATATGCGTAAGAATGAAACTAGACATGCACCTCTCACCATATACTAAAATCAACTCGAAATGGATTAAAGACTTAAGTATACTTAAGTATAAGACCTGAAACTGAAAAATTACTAAGGGAAAATATAGGTGAAACACGTCAGGAACTAGGTCTGGGTACAGCCATTATGAACAAGAGCCCAAAAGCAAAAGCAACAAAAGAAAAAATAAACAAATGGGACTATATCAAACTGAAAAACTTATGTACAGCAACGGAAACAATCAACAGAGTGAAATAACAACCTACAGAGAAAATTTTTGCTAACTGTGCATCCAACGAGGGATTAATATCCACTATATACAAGGAACTCAGGCAACTACACAGTAAAAAAACAAATAACCGAATTTAGAAATGGGCAAAAGAGGTGCATAGACATTTTTCAAAGACATACAAATGGCCATCAGGTGCATGAAAAAATGCTCAACATCACTAGTCATCAGGGAAATGCAGATTAAAACTACACTGAGATATCACCTCACCCCAGTTAGACTGGTTATAATCAAAAGAAAATAGCAAATGCTGGCGAGGATGTGGAGAGAAGGGAACGCTCCTACACTGTTGATGGGACTTTAAGTTGGTACAGCCACTATGGAAAACAGTATGGAAGTTTCTCTAACAACTACAGATAGATCTTCCATACAATGCAGGAATCCCACTTCTGGGTATGTACTGAAAGGAATAGAAATCATCATGTTGAAGGGATACCTGCACTCCTATGTTCATCACAGCTCTGTTTACAACAGGCAAGATTTGGAACCAACCTAAATGTCCATCGATGGATGACGATAAGAAAAATGTGGTATATATACACAATGGAATACTACTCTGCCATAAAAAAGGATGAAATTCTGCTATTCGCAACAAGATGGATGAGCTTGGAGAAACTTGAGTGAAATAAGCAAAGCACAGATGGAAAAATACTGCATGTCCTCACTCATAAGTGGGAGCTAAAAGAGAAAGAAGGAAGGAAGGAAAGTCCACAGTGGCGCATTGGATTGTAGAAGGAGAGAGCATACCTAGGTATGCAAAGAAGTGTGGGGGAACATGGATGGGGAGAGATGTTGGGGATAACTCTGTGGGGTAGATGGGGTATAATTGCAATATGTGGTAATGGGCATGCTGCCATTATGTATCTTGCCATCACGTCTTGGGCACAAGTGGTGACAGCTTTGTGCCCCCATGAATATTCATATCCAATAAAAATTTTTAAAAAATTAAAATTGTGCAAACCTCTGCATTAATTCTGTGTTTAGGAATTTATCTTATGAAAATACTCAGAAAACATATAAGGTTGCATGTACTAGTGCAGTTATCACATTGCTATTTGTGTTATTGAAGAACTGGAAACAAATATCCAGCAATCAAGGATCTTATCCTTGTCAATTTCAGTCACTTCTGTACTACCTTCTTGGCTTTGCTGTATTGGAGGACCATCTTAACTATTAATATATTTTTTAATGTATTTTATTTTATTTTGTCCATATACAATGTGGTTGATTATTGCGACCCATTACCGAAACCTCCCTCCCTCCTCCTTCTCCCCCCTCCCTCCCAACAATGTCCTTTCTGTATGCTTGTCGTATCAACTTCAAGGAATAGCAGTTGTTAAGTCTTCTTCCCCCCCGCCATTTGTGTGTGTGTGTGTGTGTGTGTGTGTGTGTGTGTGTGTGTTTATTTTTAGCTCCCACACATAAGTCAGAACATGTGATTTTCTCTTTCTGTGCCTGACTTGTTTCACTGAATATAATTCTCTCTAGGTCCATCCATGTCATTGCAAATGGCAGTATTTCATTCTTTTTTATAGCTGAGTAGTATTCCATTGTGTAGATATACCACATTTTCCTTATCCACTCATCTGATGGTGGACATTCGGGCTGGTTCCAACTCTTGGCTATTGTAAAGAGTGCTGCGATGAACATTGGGGAACAGGTACACCTTCGACTTGATGATTTCCATTCTTCTGGGTATATTCCCAGCAGTGGGATAGCTGGGTCATATGGTAGATCTATCTGCAATTGTTTGAGGAACCTCCATACCATTTTCCATAGAGGCTGCACCATTTCACAATCCCACCAACAATGTATGAGAGTTCCTTTTCCTCCACAACCTCGCCAGCATTTATCGTTCAGAGTCTTTTGGATATTAGCATTAATATTTTTTAAATTGACTTAACTGTAGCCCTGACCTAAGCTGTTATACCAGGAAAAGCATGGATTTGTGCTAGTTACATCATTTTATGTTCATATACACATTTAAATTCATGCGTAATTAAAGAAGATACTTATGTCTGTGTAACATCTAGAATCATTTTATATACCATCAGTAGTGTTTGTACTAAAGGAGAAAACCCTGGTTAATGGTACATCCATACAATGTAGCCATTTGAAATTATGAGGTAGTTTTATATTTTTTTTTTTTTTTACTGAAAAAGATTGTTTTGATATGTGAGAAAACAGGTTCCAAAACATATGTTCTATGCATGTACTTCTGTAATAAATATATTTATATTATAGCAAATATGCTTATGTACTTGTAATATTGTAAAGTACACTAAAATATTAACAGTGGTAATGGCTCAGTGATGTGATTATGGGCAATTTTTTTGACTTATTTTTCTTTATATTCTAATTTCTTAAACTATTAATGAACATATTTTCTAATGATAAGATTAAAAATTAAGGAACTATAAATTCTAATAATTTAGGACATATCTATTTTCTAAAAAGCTAATTGTAAAAGCTCTTACAGATTATAGGTTAATTTGAGGTCGTTTCTTCTTATTAAAATATTTGTACTTCTGCTCTTTGTTTTCACCAATATTTACTTTTTCTCTCTTTAAAACAGGCCATTCAGAAAGGCAATACAGAAGTTGCAAGAATACATGCTGAAAATGCAATCTGCCAGAAAAACCAAGCAATCAATTTTTTGAGAATGAGTGCTAGAGTTGATGCTGTGGCTGCCAGAGTTCAAACTGCAGTAACAATGGGCAAGGTAAGACCTAATATCTAAAAATAATAGGAACGCTTGATTTAAGTTTAATGAGAATATTGAGAGTTGTCAGGAATCTAAATCTGTTACAAGGTGCTACAGGGTGCTGGTAAAGGCCCTTATGGACAGGAGTGACAGTCAAAATGCTTAGTGAGGAAAATGATTTTGGCAGTGGATTTTTTATTTTTTTTTTTTAACTAAGGTCTAGTTGTCTTCTAATGAACTGAAGAGTCAAAGATATAAGATAGCCAGTACTAAACCAGAAATACGTAATAGTGTATTTTTACTGCTAGAAAAAAGACAAGTTTTTTCAGTTATCTTTAAGTAATATATTTAAGAGAATACAAAAATCTTGCAGTTGCTTGTATTATAAGATACTAAATCTGTTTTAATACCTCAAATAGGTAACAAAGTCCATGGCAGGTGTAGTTAAGTCTATGGATGCTACATTGAGGAGTATGAACCTTGAAAAGGTAAAAAAAAAAAAAAAATTATTTGATGTTCAGATAACATCTTTTCAGTGTAAGTTTCTCTTATGGCCTTTTTTTTTTTTTTTTTTTTTTTTTAACAGATATCTGCCTTGATGGACAAATTTGAACACCAGTTTGAAACGCTGGATGTTCAAACACAACAAATGGAAGACACAATGAGTAGCACTACAACCCTCACAACACCACAAGTAAGAATAGCTTCTTTACTTAGAATAACTTAAAAATTACTCCACCTCAAAATATAATAGTTCTGTGAGGCTAAATCATGTCTAGAGTGCTAAATAAATATGATATACCCCCAGAATGCAGGTAGAAAGTTATTGCTCTGCCCCCAGATTCTTGAGGAGGTATTGGAAGACTATACTCCCTAGCTCATTTTGGAGTTCTGGTAATTATACTGATCACATATCTAGAGTCTAGAGTCTGGTTCCCCTGGCTGCCACTGGTCCTTCTTGATGAAGGCATTGCACTAGAGGCTCACTGAGCCCAATTGTTATTAAGTATTATCTCAAGCCTCAGCTTGTTCATCTGATTGCACATATTCTTCTGCTTCCTGCTTACTCATTAGGTGTATTATTTGTGCATGAGTCACAGTTGAACAAATAGTAAGTTGCAAGATCAGTTATTTTTCAGAAATCTAGGATGTTTTCTAAATCTATAACCTGGGCAGAGACCTGCTACAGAGAAAATTCAAATTTGAAACTAGTTTTCATGACATGTGCCAGAAAATTTTGTGAAATTTAAATACTCAGAGAGAAAATTTCTTTCGTTAACACCCTTGTCTTTAATCCCAGTACCTATCACACGATTAGTCAAATGAATATAGAACCTCTTACCGCTACTTCAGATGCTAATATGGAAAGACTATTATTTACAAAATAGGTTAGAAAGAAATTGACAACTGTCCATCAAAATTTTACTGCAGGTAACTCTTTTCACAAAGAGGTAAACAATAAGAGAACAAGCTTATATTTAGGATTTAGAGTTAAGAAGAAAGGATTCATGTGTATATCTTATAGTGAGCGTATATTTAACTATTTTTAATACTCTCGGCTAGAGCCTTGCTACCCAAAGTATATACAAGATTCAGGAACATATATGTCACATAGGAGCTCATTGTGAATGCAGAATTTTGGACCCCATTCCTAGATATATTGAATCAGAATCTTCATTTTAACAGGATTCCAGGATGATGTGTATGCCGAGCTTGAGAAGCATTGTTCCCAGAGTTTCTCATTCATATTCAGTCACCTTAGGTGATCCTCAGGTGATTTTATGATCTAAGTTTAGGAAACACAAGTGAATTGGAAAGATGTCTTTTGAAGTCAGGACACTTGAATTTCTAATCCCTGCTTTTCCACTAATTAACTTTGCGACCTTGATTAAGATACTCACTACCTCAGGCCTCAGTTTTCATAATTGTAAAATGTAAGGGTTGGGTCTGATGACAGTTAAAGTGCTTTTAGCTCTAAAAAATCTGAGATTCTTTCACCCAGCATTTGCCAAGTACCTTCTTCTATTTCAGATATTATGCCAAGTGCTGGGGACATTCAAATATATAAAAACTCAACCAAAACTTAAAACAGAAATAGAGAGAGATCTAGTTGAACACACTCAGTTGCCCAAGTTCTCGCATCCTGCTAATGAGTAATTACAATTCACATTGGCATATCCACTTTGGAAAAGCAATTTGGTAATATCTCCAGTCCATTCTTAACATAGCAGCCAGAGTAATCCTATTAAAACAAGTCAGATTATGTCACTCTTCTGCTCACAACCTTCTTGTGGCTCTACATTTCCCTCAGGTTCTTTTCAAAGGCCCACAAGGACCTGTCTCACACTGCTTATATGACCTGATCTATTACTGCTCCTCACTCTACTTAGTCACTTGGCTTCCCATTGTCAGTTATTCCTTTAGGTATATTTCTGCCTCAGCCGTTCCACTTGCAGTTTTCTCTCCCTTGAATGTTCTTCGTCCAGACATGCTCGTAGTTCACTCCTATATCTCCTTCAGTTCTTTGTTCAATTCATTTTCATAGTGAGGTCTTTCCTGATCATCCTACTTAAAATTGCATTAACAGTACACCTACCATGCCCTGTACTCTCTACCTTTCCTGCTGTATTTTTCTTCACAGTACATACATATCAACTTCTCGTGTAGTATAGACTACTATAACAATTTATTCCTTCACATACACACACACACTAGAATGTAAGTTTAATGAGAGGAGGGATTTTTATTGACTTTGTTCATTGATGCCTCCCTAGCACTCAAAATGATATCTGGTATAAAGTAGGTACTCAATATTTGTTAAATATTATTGAGTAAATTGGAGTATACAAAAATGTATGTAACCTATGACCTAATACTTCCACTTTCAAATTTATACACAAAGAAGCCCTTACACGTGTGTTCAAAGATATATATATACACACACGAGAATGTCCATTGTACCATTGTCTATAATAGGGAGAGGTTGAGTAAGGAAAGCAAGTTATAGAATAATGTCCTAGTATAATATCACTTAAGTAAATTTTAAAAACACAAATATTGCTATTTTCGATATGAAGTGAAAACAAATGTTAATGTAGGAATTTGGTCAAAGATTTTCTGAATTTTTTCTGTATTTTGGAAATATTTTTAAAGTGAATGAAAGAGAACAAGAGAAACTAAGGCCCAGCAGCAAGGTTAGTGATTTGCTTAAAACCATTCACTTAATTAATGGTAGAGCTGGGACCACATCTTAGAACTCCCACCTGTATGTTCAAAATATTCTTAACTAAATTAAAAACACGAGTTCTTTGATTAATCAGACTCTGTTCCCTGAGAACTCTTCTACTTTAGTAAATATCACAGTATTTATTCATCTCTGGATATTTTAGAGTCATTCTTAGTATCAGATTTGCATCAACTGGAAGAAAGAACAATTAAAGTTATTCTAATCTAAAATTTAAATCTGTTGCACTTTAAATAAAAGCAAAGTAGGTTAGAACGGACCTTTATAAATGGGTTGACTTTCTCTAGAGAGCTACATTACTCAGATTTAAAGTATATGTGAATCTTGTTAATTTTTTTCACATAACCTCATGGTTTAAGTCTTTAGAATTTAACATTATTCAGAAAAAGTCATATTTTGAAATAATTTAGCTCCCTCTGGTGGTTAAAAAATATTTTTAAAAACTTTCTTTTAAAAATTGTAGACCAGTTCTCCCTTTTTAAAGCAAAATCAAAACCAAAAACCACCCAAAAAAGCAAATGCTGTTAAAATATAAATTCTCATTTTCTTATTCTAGAACCAGGTGGATATGCTGCTTCAAGAAATGGCAGATGAAGCTGGGTAAGAAGTTATTTAGGTAGTTTTGGATAATCTTGATTTACAGTTTAGAGGTTCTAATATTCTGAAAATATTTGTCTTTACCACCAATAGTCAGAATTAGGTTTTTAACCCTAGAATTTATTGTTTCAGTGGCCTTTAATACAGTCATCTAGTTCCTTGCCATGCTGATAAAAATGTGACTTTGTTCAAATCATCCTAGTATTTTCTTAACTCTCTGGAGACAGACCTGTTTAGTGTGTGATAACAAGAAATGAGGAAGGTAAACAAGGGAGGCAGGAGTGTTTAAACATTTGCTCAATACCTACTCTGCACAGCATAAATCAAATGTATGTTGTTGTATGTGGGTTTGTTTTAAAGAAAAAGGATCTTCCAAAAGAATTCTGTGATCAAGTCATTGAGTCATAAATCTAGTTTGAGTCCTGTAAACTGAACAATATATACAAAATGTCCAAGGGGTTCAAAACACAGCAACATTGCAGATTGTTTTTATAAAAAGTAAATAATTGACACCCTTTTGTGGTGCTACTGTAGGAAATAGGATGTCTGATAGGCGTTGTTTATTTCAGGCCCTTCATGTTTGGAGGAATAAATTGACCATGATATCTGTGCCACAGAGGTCATGTTATATCAGTATTCTCTGGTATACTATTTGGTTCAAGATAACATAGTAGTAAATAATAAAAATATATATCTCTGAGATAAAGATTAAAACTGAGTGATAAGTATATTTTATCTTCAAAGGTAGAATAATAGGTTGAAATAGGATTTATGTACTCTATTCTTTTCTCCGGGGAAGAGAAGATTTGAACACACCTGGAAAATAGAGTTGTTGAATATTACTCTAGTATCTGAGTTAATACCCGATTAGAATGAACACTTAAGTTTATCAACTCTTTAGATCACTAATGTGTCATTAGTAAATTACAACCATGAGGTTTGCAGTGTTTGGAAACAGGGCTAGAGGTTAGGTTGTGCACTATTTTGCTTTGTTAGTATCCTTATGTAGCCCACATACCCACACAGAAAGTAGCAGGAAATGTGATTTTTGTTAAGTATTATAAAAAGACCAAGACATTGTGTGACAGAAAACTCCATCTTAGTCGCAAGACACTAAGGACTTGTTTCTGTTTCTACTAAAATGAGAGGATTGGGCTTGGAAATTACAGCAAGGGAGGTCTTATAAAATTAGTATTGTCACATTCCAACCTTACTGACCCTCAGTGGTATATCAAGAATAGTAGGCAACTTTTTGATAAGATCTAGAGCAGGATGTCTCAGCCTTGACACTATTAACATTTTGGGCTGCATAATTCTGGAGGCTGACCTGTGCATCATAGGATGTTTAGCAGCATCTCTGGCCTCTACCTGCTAGATACCAGTAGCACCCACTTTCCCCAGTTGTGACAGCCAAGCAGTCTCCAGACATTGCCAGATATTTCTTGGGGAAGTAGGGGACCAAAATTAAGAGATTAGTTATGTCAACAATGGGTGGTGACTGGAGCACTAGAAGCAGGTAGAACTGATGCAGAAACACTGATGCCCATCCTTAAATGTGTTTAAGTATCCAATTGCTGTTTGAGCTTGTGATTCTTTCAACAAAATTTTAGTATATTTTTACCTTTTCAATAAAAATCTGTTTATAGAATCTCAAAATGACTGTTGAAGTTACTATATTCCCTGTAGTGTTTTAAACTAGAGTTGGCACACACTAGTTTAGAGACAAGTAGAAAGGATTGTTTATATCCCAGAGGAGTAGTACAATGACAGTTGAAGTTATGGGCCTTGAGACAGACAAACCTAGGTTCAAATTCTGTCTCTATTATTGGTGTCATCTTTGACAAGTGTACTTAACTTTTCTGATCCTCATTTGTATGATTTGATGCACATAATGATTCCTACTAAAGGTAGCTCAGGAGCTAAACAATGAAATTGAAGTTAACTCAAATGTTAGATATATGATCCTCAGGCTACATTTTATCTAGCCTGTTTTGTTTTCTTTTCAGCATATTGTCCTTCGCAGTAGGATACATATAGTAATCTTCAGTAAGTCGAATATATTGGATGACCATTATTTTGGTGTTTTGTTCAGAAGGCCAGATCTTTTCCCAGCCTTTTATTAGCTTTTCTGTTGTAAGATTACCATCTACATGGGTTGCTGTTAGGGCTCAAAAGGAAAACTTTAAAATTAGTAAGTTTATGTGTATCTGTTTACAAGACTGAACTTGTTTTTTATTTAAATTAAGGTAAAATGCAAGGTGGAATATTCAAATTTGCAGTACCTATTTTATTGCTTATTATAATTAAAGAAAAATGCTTGTATTAACACTCATTTATACCAATCATTTTTAAATTGTAGCCTTGATCTCAATATGGAACTACCACAGGGTCAGACAGGTTCTGTTGGCACAAGCATTGCTTCGATGGAACAGGTAGAGGTTGTATTTTCTGTTTATTGATATGTGCTTGAAGTGTATTGAAATAATTTAGGAAAAATATATACATATTTTATATAGTCATATAAGTTAAACATATATTCACTTTTTCTTTTATAAAAAGTATTTGTCTACTATAATATTACATCATAGTAAGTTAGTAAAATATAATTAGCCTTTAGCTCCATAATGATGGGCCTTTTTTATTTCCATGCACATTTCATTTAGAGATTGAATTTGCTCCCCTTCGTTGCTTCTGCTCAGGTTCTCCATTTCTTCTGAAATGTTTTAAAAAATTAAAACGTGTGAATTTTTGAGACAGGATTTTAAATATTTAAAATGTGAGCTAGCTAAACTATTAGCAATTTATATTTGTCACAGCCTTGATGATTTGTAAAAATCTGTTTTCTCCAGGGTGAACTATCACAGAGACTTGCTCGTCTACGTGATCAAGTGTAATTTAAAGAACTGGTGCTTTTGTTTGCTTCACTTGCTTCTGAAACATTCCTTGTGTGTATATATAGATAGCTGCACTCCAGTTACACTAAAAACACTATATATGCCAGAATGCTTAAACAGTTGTATATAATGCTTTCTTTTGCCTTGCTGTACTTTCTAGTACATTAAGAAATTCCAGGGAGTTTCCACGTTGACAGATTTTATAGTTCTGTATATTATGTGTAAAAATGTGAGGGACATATTTTTGTAGATGTCTTTGACGGAGCTAATATTAGCTTCTTGTATATTAAACATCTTCCTCAAAAGTTAGATCAAAAATCTTGCACAAAATACTGTGAAGTATAGTACTTAATACAGAATAAAGTATACAAGTTTTTTTTTTTTAATTCAAAGTAGTTTTTAAGCTCTGTATGTATAAAAATAAAAGCAGGGAAAGCATGTTTACTTGATATGTTTATATAGCCCAAAACACCTCATTTAGTGTCAAACAATGAACGATGCTATTTCTTGTTTTATGTTTTTGTTATCCAAGTAGAAAGTCAGTTGACTTTTAATGTGTTCAACAGTTTTCAAATTTAAATCATTATTAGAATTTTTACCTAGTAATTTAATGACTACTATTCAAATTCTTTAAATTTTCTCTTCATTAAATATCATTGTTATTAATACTCCCAGAAAAATTTAACTTTTCATACTTTCAAGTGAAATTCTGAAACACATTTTAATGATTCTATTTCTACTCAACTCTTGTTATACTGTATTTTTAAACAGTAGAGGTTAATTTGCCTGGTAATAATATCATTTACATTTTTCCGTGATTGTTGATTGGTTTCTGAGAATGTTGGACTATGTTTTAAACCAACAAAATAACAACCAAGAAAAAAATAAGCTAACTCAAGTTACAACTACTGTAAGTCCTGATTAAATGTGTTTATTCTTTTATCTTAAAACAACTCTTTAATAACTGGAAGAAATTATATATAAGTTAAAATATTTTGCTCAGCCATGCAAATAACTTCCAGCCCAATCAAAGTTGGGAGCACAACAGAGGATGTGTGATGTAGGGGGGGAGGGACACCGAAGTCATAAGGTTGTAAAGAAGAACAGATTCTGGAAGGTCAGGATCCTTGGGAGAAAGCATTTGGTGACCAGCTGTACTACTTGTCATTTCCCTGGAAATATCTATTTTACCCAACTAAAATGAAGAAATTGCCATGTGCCTGCAATTTTCTGATATAATAGTCTCAAGTGTAAAGTGACCAAGTCATATTATAACAAGTATACTGCTAATCTAGGTTACTTTAAGTACGTTAGGTGTTTTTTCTTACTTCCTGCAAGATTAACCCATGAAAGAATTCTAATATTTTGTGAAGTTATATTGAAGAGATTTGTTTAGAAAATTCCCACTGTAAGTCATGAAGGCATTCAAAGTGCAATTAAGGAGAGACTTCTTTGCTCAGTATTCTATTCATATATGTTTCATACCATATATAAAAAGTTTGTGTGAGTGGAGACTATATTCACTGATTAATGAAATGAAAAATTATTCTTTTGCTAAATTTGGGTTAAACCTATTTAATTTTCTTGGTACTTAACCTCAGTGTGGGAATCTTCCATTTTGCTTATAGTTGCTGCTTTGTCCTTTCTACTTAAATGGTAAATTTGTTTGTTTGTATTGGAACATCCTGGGGAGCCATAGAAGAGATTACAGACTAAAATGTCTATGAAATATAAAGTTTCCTTATTTCCTATTTGTGGAAATGGTGTAGTTTTGTTCTTTTGACTGGAATAAAAATTGTTAAATTGTGAATACTGCTTATTTAAATCTAGAAATATAAATTATTCTGATCTAAAGATAACTGCTGATACTTAAGCCACATCAGATTTGTCTTTTAAAAAGTTTGTTTTAAGCCTACATTCCTTGGCTTGCGGGTCCCTTCCTCCATCATCAAAGCGTACCCCTCCAGTCTCTACTTCTGTTGCTACATCTCTCTTTGACTTTGGTCCTTTTGCTTCTCTCTTATAAGAACCTTTGTGATTACATTGTTCTACCTGGGTAATTTAGAATAATATGTCCATCTCAAGGTCCTTAACTGAATAACATCTGCAAAGTTCCTTTTGCCATGTAAGGTAATATATTTATAGGTTCTGGGGATTAGGATGTGGAAATCTTTGAGCAGCTATTTTTCTTTCTGCCACTGGGACTTCTACTGGCATCTAGTGGGTAGAAACCTGGGATGCTGCTAAACGTCTTACTCTGAAGAGGACAGGCTCCAAAACAAAGTTATCTGGCACAAGTGTCAGTAATGTTGAGGTTGAGAAACCCTGCTTTAGGTAATTTGTTATATAGTATTGAGGCATTTGCTGAGTAATACACTGAATAATGATTCCCTAAAATTATCTTAGTGAGTATTATAGGAAAATCAAAGAACTGAATGATACTACGCTCAGCCAGTGAGCGCACCAGCCATCCCCATATAGGATCCGAACCCACGGCCTCGGCCCCTCAAATTTTATTTTACTTTGGGGTTCCTCTATTCTTATAAATGTAGTAAAAATTCCTTTCGTAGAATTTGTTCTTAAACCTGTGAACTCTTACCTATTAGTATAGTTATTTTTTATTTTTTTATTAGCATATTCATTATTACAAATCCTGATTTTTCTTTATGCCCTTTACCCGACCTATCACTCTCCAAAACCCCTCCTCCTCTCCCTCCCCCCAATCTCTAGTATCCTTAGGTTTGTTCTCTCCTTCTGAAAGTTCAATGTATTGTTGTCTTTTCTTTCTTTCCGCCTTTTTTAGCACCCAGTTATGAGTGAGAACATGCAGTATTTCTCTTTCCTTTTCTGGCTTATTTCACTTAACATAATTTTCCCAGACTCATCCATGTTGCTTCAAATAGCAGAATTTCATTCTTTTTTATGGTTGAGTAGTATTGCATTGTGTAGATATATACACACATTTTCCTTATCCATTCTTCCATCAGTGGACACTGAGGTTGGTTCCATATTTTGACTATTGTAAATAGAGCTGCAATGAACATGGGAGTGCAGGTATCCCTTTGACATGATTTCCATTCCTTTGGATATATACCAAGTAGTGGGATTGCTGGATGATATTGTAGTTCTACCCATGGTTGTTTGAGGAACCTCTGTACTGTTAGTTCCCTATCAATCTCATTTTCTCCTGATTTTTCTTTCTAAGTATTTGTTATTTGGTTGAACATAAGGTCATTTAAATGCTCAGAAACATTGTGCTTCATCTTTACCCTTTAGACAATGTAGCTGACAAATTATTTCTCTGCTCATATGCCTGGACATCTAAAATTTTCCACCTTCCTGTAAACCATTTTAGGTAAACATTATGGGCTAGATTATTTTACCTGGTTAATTTATTACCGGTCATTGCTACAGAGAGGAAACAGGAATAGGAGATAGAACAGGTAAATTATGATAAGAGATGAGTTTGCTTTATAGTTTAGAAAATTATGGGTAAAGACTATCTGAAGAAAGTGCAAGGGTACTAGCTAGATGTGAAAATAAAAACCAAAAGATTGATAGGATGCCAAAAAGCAGCCTAATTTTCTATGGAGTTACTGACGCTAATAGATAACAGCTTCAGGATAAAGTCTAGATTGGTTCTTGTTTAAACTGTGGAGGAAAAGTCCTAGCTCTGATACTAACTTCGATAATTCTCTTACCCACTTTTGGGCCTTAGATTCCTTTTCTACAAATCTTTTCAGAGTACATTGACTGCATAAGTTGCAGCAAGTTGCTGTAATACAACACATTCTCTCCATTCTTTTCTGTTTTCTACCACTCTCCAAAAGAATTCTAAATGCAGAATGATGTTATGGGTCTTTGAATCATTTGTCTCTGAAGACCTAGAGAACATGTGGTTTCACCTCATTTCCAATTTTACAGGATAGAAGACCTAACACCGGAGAGATTCAGATTCACATTTGTTGAGCACCTACTGTGTGTTAGGAACTGTTCTTGGTACTTTGATATATTAAGGTTATTTAACCCTTAAAAGAATCCTGTGAACAGGTGGATGGCTGTTATTCTGATCTTTAGAGAAGAGGGAACAGGCTGACAATTTAAGTAGCTTGCCTAGCTTTATACAACTACACAAAAGCAGAGCCTGGGGTTTGATCACAAATGTGACTCACTTCGAATCCAGTGATCATGTCTTATTCTTCATCCAAAATGCTATTTCCAATATATAATGTGCTGATTTTATTACTGAAACAGACGGTGAAAACTACTAGCAAAATTCTTGACTAAGTTCATCCAAAGACAATCAGGCGTTTAGTAGAGTGTTTCTAGACAAGGATTGTTTTTTTTTCCTTAGTCTTAGCTGTCAAGAAATATTACTTTCCTCCAATTTAGAAATCACAACCATTTTTTTCACAAGTTAACTTTGTAACAAACTGATTCCACTAGTTAACTAAGTTGTACTTATACTCAGTCTTTTCATTTTCCACACTGGAAAATACTCCCGCACAGGAAGATATATTGGTAAAATCATTCAACTGACATTGTGAAAATAAAATCTGCCTAACCTATTATGATACTGTCTATATTCTTATAAAATATACTGCTCCCTTACAGTAGCAGTAGGCACAAAGTTCTTGAAAGTGCCTTGCTATAAATGACTAAGTGTGCCTTTGGTACTTAATAACCTATGAGTTATTTGTCTGCCAGATAGCTAAAAGCCTTCCAACCTCCAGTTAGAAAAGTTTAAATGGAATGTTAAAGGGAAGTTATCCCTGTAAAATAAGTTACTTGTACTTTATGTTCTCAAATTTAATAAGGGAAAGAACAAAGTCTTTAATATGTCACTTGGTCATTAAAATAAAGTTGGGTCTCATGTTCCAAATGAAGATTCTTAAGATGAACTCTGTACCTACTTCTTAGAAATTTTACTCTTAGAAAGTTGATTATGCTGGAGCTTGACATGTTTAGCTTTTGCTTTATCAAAATGACATGAAATCATTTTGAGGAAAAGAAAGTTTCAGAAAACATAGTATAGTAATTTTATGTCACATGAAGGGACTTGGGTGTTGAAGTAACAAGGGCTTTCTACATGGAATTGACTTTTTAAAAAAAAAAAAAAAAGACTCAAACATAAAGTCTAAGAACCAATCTGGGGTTAAATGAAAAGGAGAGAGCCATGGCAGAAGATGCTTTTCTAGGCAATGGGGAAAAAGGAAAAATTCCCAGTTGCTATAATCTACTGAGATTTACCAGCTCAGTGTGCCTTTTTGAGAGTTTCCAGGTGGAATTGCCCATGTGTGAAAAAGAATATTGAATCCAAAGCCAAATTTATTATTGTTTCCATGTGTAGCACCTATTACAAGCTTCGTAAAGAATAAGCCAAGGTGAGGATAGTGGCACCACCCACTGGTAGGAGACCTGAAATTATCTTGCTTCCTTACCAAGAAGGCTTGGACCTATGAAAACTTTGCTGTTCTAAATCTCAAAGTAGAATCACACCTGAGCCACCCAGATCTTCTGAGGCTGGGTGTGAGGGTAGAGAGTGACAGAAGTTCGAAATGGCAACAGTCATTGAAGTAGGAACTTTTCACATTAACTATTTACTCAGTACCTACTATGCACAAATCCCAAATTTGTTTTCATTATACTGTCCAGATGAGTGTTTCATGGTTCAAAATATGTAGAGTTTCTTTATAAGGGAAAGAAGGTAATAGCCAGCATATATGAAGTACCAGATATATAGCTATGCACTGTTACCTCTGTTACTTCATTTAATCCTTCCAATAACCTCATGAGGTGAATATAATCCCTTTTTTGGAAAAGAACAGTCTGTTACTTATCCAAAATAATGAAAATAATATCACTTTTTGAACACTATGTACCAAGAACTATTCTAAATGTTTTACGTGTATTAATTCTTGATCCTCATAATTTCCATTTTACAGATGAAATAGTAAATGACAAGGCTGAAATTCACACCAAAATATTTTTCTTAGACAACTAGATACACTCAGGTCACCTCTGCTAAAGAGGACTTACCATAAAGATATGTGGAGAAGCACGGAGATCAGAACACAAATTTGATAATCTCACAACCAGGCCACAATAACAGGAATCTTCACATATTCAGGATACAACAGTAGCTCTAGCAGTCTGACAAGAGATTGGGGTTATTGATAATTTTAATAAATTTTCCCATTAGAAGCTGGTGTGTTGCCCCTGCCTCTAATGTTACAGCATTATAGTGATGAAATGATCACCACTGTCAACTTACTGTTTTCTACTGCTATAGTCAGCACCCATTATTGACATAACCAATCTTTCTCTATTTCCCATGCCTTTAATCCCCTTCTGTCATCACCAAATTCAAACTATGAGTGAGGATCTGATGGACTCAGCCAGTCATCTCACCAGGCCTCTACTAGGCAAAGTTCTCATAGCCAGTTGAAAAGACCATTATATGCCTGCAGGTGTGGATGGTCACCTAAGGACAAGGAAGCCCTCTGATGGTCATAGTGAGCATAGGAAACACCCTAAGTATCCCGGCCTGTACACTGACCCCTAAGCTTATATGTGGTCATGCCATATCCATGTTGCCTCTTTTATTATCGCATGCTAATGTTTTTATTGCACTGGGTCCTTATACCTTTTCCATTGTCTAAATAAAGTATCCACATCCCAGATCATGGCCAGAAGGCATAAGTTTGTCTCCAGTTTCCCAGCTTTTCCTTTCAATGCCCACTGCTCTACTTTGAGCAGCTCTCCGTCCCATCATGTGTCAGAGTCCATTGCTTTCCTGAGAAGAAACTA